CTGTTGTTAGGTGTTTTCTTGTATTGCCGTGTTTCCATAGGTTCTTCCAGTAGGTGTTGGTGTGGTCTCACCCTCTGTGTATGGTACTTCCCCGATGGGCTTATGTGCGTGAGAGATTCAATATCTCCAGCTGTTTGTGTTCCAAGCTCTATAGGAGGTCTCTATAGGACCCAGGGATGTGGTCAGGGCTGAGGATCCAGTAGAAGATGCCACTAGCCAAGGGCTCTAGCCAATTGCTGGTATAAGAGTACAAAGGCTGAGCTGAAAGTTGGGAAGTTTCTGCAGGATAGTCTGATCTCACTGGAAACTGGCACTCTCCAGCTGAGGCTTCTTTCTTTAGCAGAGGCCCTGCTTTGGGGGTCAAGGATCTTGTCGGCCATGGGGGGGGGCGGCTGGGAACTCAGAGTGGACCTGAAGAGATAGGAGGGTCTCTGGAAGGGGCACAGGACTCCAGCAGAGGACTGGAGGTGGGGTCAGAGACCAAGCAAGTGGAAATTAAGGCAGGTCTCCATTGTTCAGAGTTGTTCTGAGAAGTCTCCCAAGTAGGGTGGACTGTTGGCTCCACCCTCTGTCCCAGTGCTCAACCAGAGTGGCAGGACAGTTGGCGCGGTAGGGTACATGGTAGGGGGAGCAGGCTCGTGGTGGGGTAGGGGTGTATCAGAGCTCCAAGGCTGCTCTTGATGGGGACAGGACACAGGAGCAGAGGGATCAGGAGTCAACCCAGGGAGTTTGGGGGAGTGTAGGGAAGAGGCCACCCTGATTGGGCCCAGACTCACCTCTAGCCAATGGCTGGCAGAAGAGGACAAAGGCTGACCTGAAACTTGGGAAGGTTTTGCAGGATAGTGGGATCTCACTGGAAACTGAGACTCTCCAGCTGAGGCCTCTTTCTTTAACAGAGGCCTGATTTGGGGGTCAAGGATCTTGCTGGCGGAAACTCAGAGTCCCCACAACAGCTTATTAAGTCTTAAACATTCAATGGTTTTTTCAGCCCAAAGTTCCAAATTCCTTCCATGATCCTCCCACAAATGCAATAATATCCCATGTCCTGGTACCAGTTTCTGTCTTAGGGTTTCGATTGTGATTATACAACACCATGACCAGATAGTCCTGAGGGCACATGCCTTTAATCTCAGTATTTGGTGAGGCAGATAGATGTGGATCTCTGAGTTCCAGGATACTCCCACTCCCAGCTTTTCTATGGACTATGTCCACTCTTTTCTGGGCCATTGCCACTGTCTCTAAAGAAGCTCCTCTGCCTTAGACTTCTAGATAACGCATGTTTTGATTACTTTTTTGTTTGAGACAGTGTCTCTCTATGTGGCTCTGGAAATCTCTGTGTATATCAGGTTGGCACTGAATTCACAGAGATCCCCTGCCTCTGCCTTCCAAGTATTGGGATTAAAGGACATGCCACTGCATGCAGCTAATTACTATTAATTTTATTGTTATTCTTCTCTTTACAAGTGAACTAAAAATTCTTCATTATTTTAAGTAGTACAAACTTCTGTCTGTTCAGCTCCATTTTCAATCTATTCTTTAAACAGATTTAGATATATTTTTGTGCCCTTTTTTATTCCATAGGAACTGGTAGAATGTTCTTTAATTTGTCTTTATTTATCACAATTGTATCTATATTTCATATTTCTTCCATGAAGATTTTCTTTATTGTGTCTGAAAGATGTTTTCCTCTTCTTATGTATAATTCATTTCTCTATGAAATTTATTCAATGGCAAGATACTATTCATGATCTCAATTTTTGTTGATGTCTCTCTTATGGTTTGATCATATGCCACAAAGCTCATAAATTAAAAATTCAATCTTCTGATTTGTATATTAATGGTATTTGGAAGTAAGGTTTCTGGGAGCTAGCCAGCATTAGATAAATTAATGAGTTTGGGTTCACTATAAAATTAATGGATTTATAAAAAGAGACACGAGTTAGCATTCTTACTCTATCTTGCCATGTGATGCTCTCTACTAGGATAGTATACAGTAAGTTTCATCACCGGATATTGAGTTCCATGTTCTTGGTCTTCCCTGCCACTAGACTCATGAACTAATCAAATCAATCAATCAATGTCTTGCATAAATAATTATAGGACTAGGAAGCAAATTAAGACAAATTCAAACCCCTTTAAGCCATGTTTTAATTTTTAGTAGTGTCCTTACTACCTTAAAAAAGACCTCTCTTATTTGTAGATTCTGTTTTCTTAGAAAATATGAAGTGAATTCATATTCTCTTCATCATTGCCCGCTCATCCACACTTTGGCTCTTCAAACCTACAGCACTTCCTTTCCTACCAGGGCAGAGCATTCTGTTAAAGCTCCACGTAGATAAAGAAAGGTATCTATAAAAGAATCAAAACATTCAACTGTTGTGCCAAGACTCTGAACCCCCCAAAACCACCAGATCCAAAGAACACAGAGTTGTTATAATTAATGAGTTAACTGGGGTTAACTCAGGTCCTCTGTCTAGGAGGACCTCAAGCAGCAGTGGGGCAGGGAACATATTGGGGTAGAGCAAGAGGAGGGTCTGGGGGTCTGTTAGTTGAATAGCAACAGTCTCAGAATTGGTATACTTCGGGGCTTAGGCATCCTGTCCTGTGTTGATTGGTCAACTGCAGCTGCAGGAAGGTTACTATGCCTAGAGGCCCCTTCAGAGACTTTGCTTTGCTTTGCATTCCACTGTTATCAGTAAAGCACATCCATGGCCAGCCAGCTAACTTCTGATTGGTTCTTTGCCACATGAAGGCTATCTGGCTTCCTAGTGACTATGGCAAGGTTGGGCAAGGGCAGGAGTTCAGCACATCCTGATGAGTCAGGGGTCTACATCTTGCTGGGTCTTTTTTTGCAGCCTGTAATGGCTGCCTAAGCAGGGGCTGGGTGAAGGCCTGGGTCCTTCACAACCTCTTAGCCAAGTGGATTTAAAAATCTTTCCCCAAATATTGGCTGTGGCAGTAATCTGAAATCAGAAGTAACAGATTAGTTTTAGGATGGCCACTGGCTTCTATTTGAAGGCCAAATCAGTTGCTCATTGCATGGGTACAAGGCAGATCATAGGAAGGCAGTTATTCCTCTATATATGACAGAGTGACCACATGCCTTGCATTTTTCTTAAAACTCTGTAACACTGCACTTGAATATATTAGAATCCTTTGGAATAACAGGAAAAATTGAAGTAAGAAACAGTCAAATGCTGCAATTCGGGCACACGTGGCTACAGCAATCCTCAGGGACTGACACAGGAGGAAGTGAATTTTCTCCACTCCATCTTCTCTGCTCTTAGCAGAGAACACCAACTGCAGTCTGGATAAGCGGCTAGCCACTGTGGGAGAAATGCAGGTTACCCTGGCATCCAAGGCCCTATGGTTGCATGGAATCCTGGGACTTGTAGTACACTCCACCCGCTCTTCGCGCAAGCTGGTTACAAAGGACTACGATTCCCAGGATGCACACAGAAGAAACTGGCAGAAAGAGGGACGGCTTCAGCCCTTGTGGGCTTCTGCGTTTCCTAGCGCTGCCGCGATTTCGCCTAGTAACCCTTCCCTGCGCTGGCCCCGCCTCCGGAGCCCTGGCTGGAGGAAGAGCTGGTCCCTGAGCCCCCAGGGACCAAGCCTATCCCCGGGTGCTCCGGGTCGGGAGGGAGGGCAGGCAGAGGATTTGGCTGGCTGGTTCAGGATCCCGGACGCATGGCGGGCAGCAGAGGTTAGAGGCGAAGAAAAGCAGGGATGCTCTGAGAGAGGCTGGTCCGGGTGGGAGTGTAGGACCCCGCCGGGACGGTGGAGTGAAAGCCAGGGAACCATCCCTGGGACTGGCATCCCTCGGAACCGCCACAGTAGGCTCCTGGCTGAGCACAGGGTGTCGTTGTCCTTCGGGCTCCACGGGAGATCTCGCCCCCCGAAAAGCTATAGGCAGGAACCCGGAGCCCTCAAGGTCTCTTAGCTAGCTCAGATCTTCTCGGGGGACAGGGACGCGAATATCACCATTATTATATTGTTTTTATTATTATTTTGCCACTTGTTAATGTATCTCTTTTTTCCTTTTTCTTTTTTTCTTAATCCCCCCCGCCCCCTCCCGCCCCGGACTGGGGGCTTTTTAGGTAGCCTAGTTGCCCTGGTGCCCGTTTCCTCTGATTCAGATTGATTTATTTATTTTTTAATGACGCTTGCAATTGGAGTTGCTGAATAAGGAGAGCGGCTAAGTTCTTTATGGCTTTCTTTGTGAAGAGAAGGCTCATGGAGAGAGTATGGGTTTTTAACACTTGCATGACAGCCAATTGGAGCATCTAAAAAAATGACCATTTCATATTCGCTCTGGCTTATGGAGGAAAGAGCAAGTATTATTTCAAATTAGATCCGCAACAACCAGCCAGTAACATTTAGGGCGTATTTCCTATAATTAAGGAGGTGATATAGAAGCAGAAAGGTAGACAATTAAAAACAAACAAACAAAAACTCCAAAACACAACCCACAACTTGGTTTTAGTTTGGCGATCATTTTCTTGTAGTAGGTGACATGCAAAAATTCTTTCTCTCCCTCGCTCTCGCATCCTAGATAGAGACTGTCAATTTCGGATCCAAGGACGGTGATGGCAAAGCTTACTCCTGCTGCCTATCAGATCAGACCTGTCACAGAATAAATCCCGCCGCCTGCTGCGAAGCCCCTGCGCGCTTCAAACTTGGCGAACTGGGTAATCCGTGTCTGGATATGCAGATCTCTGATTTTAAAGGCGGGGTGACTCCGGGGAGTATCATTCTCGGGGGCCGAAGCTCGCAGGTGCAGTGAGACGCGCGCGCGGGTGCTGGCGCCCCCGAAGCCTCCTGGCCCCAGGGGAAGGAATCCGGGCGTCCAGCGGGGTCTTGCTGCTGCGCACGGGCTGCGGTTTGTCTCCCGCCGCAGCGAATGGTGGTGGCCCTTGTGCTGGGCTGTGCCTGTGCTTCGCCGCGGAAATCGGCGCCCCGCAATATACCCTGAACCCTTGCAGGTCCTTCGCATCCCGAGCCTTGAAGAGGACAGAGCCGACTCGCGGGGCACTGGGGGTCGCGCGGGGTCAGCTTATCATGGCGGATCGGACAGCTCCCAGTTGCCAGCTCCGACTAGAGTGGGTGTACGGGTACCGGGGTCACCAGTGCCGCAACAACCTGTACTACACTGCTGGCAAAGAGGTGGTTTACTTTGTAGCTGGGGTAGGGGTGGTGTACAACACCCGCGAGCACAGCCAAAAATTCTTCCTGGGACACAACGACGACATTATCAGGTAAGGGGGTGGACTGGGGCGGTGAGAAAGGGTTGGATATGGAGGACAAAAAGGTGGGCATAACCGGGGTCATATCTGAGAGCCCTATGGAATAAAGGATTATCCTAGGGCCGCTAGAGAAGGGCTGCAGATGCTAGAGCTAGGGAGTAAGTGTAGATGGGAGGGAGATATCTCTGTCCCCTTAGAAGGCTTTTAATGCTCTGCTGAGTTAAGTGTTGTGCTGCTGTGTTGTTCTTTCTTGCTACAAGTGGAAGGACTGGGTAACTATCTACTAACCCTCACTCTTCCCTAGCTAGGTAAAGAGAACCAATAGGTGAACTATGGGTAGCATATTTGGAGAGCTCCTCAGTAGGTTCCAGCAAGCAAGTGATTTTTTTTTTTTTTTTTTTTTTTTTTTTTTTGGTCCAGGCAGTTTGGAATCTTCATCCCCTAAGCATTAGACTGGGAACATTTCTGAGTGGGTGGGGACTGTTTTCTGATATTACAGCAGTGTTTTAGTGCTAAAAATGTATTTACACACTAAATGGATGCTTTCTACAATATAGTTTTAGAAGAGAGGCAGCAGCTACTGGACAATAAAAATCTTATCATCCAAAAGAATGAGTAGCATTTGGCAGTGGATAGTCTAGGAGAACTCCATTGCACAAAATAATTATTTTTAGGGCCCTCTTGTTTAATTAAAGGGGGCAGATTTGATTCTTTGTGCTATCCCTTTATCTGGACTAGACATATTTCTTTGAAGCTTTTGTCAGCATCTCCTATGGCCAATAAGGTGTGGTTCAGATGCTGCTCATAAGGAATCCCTTTCTGCCTAAGGTGGTTGAAGACATTTTGCATGGTATGGACACCTCCACTCATAGGACAATGATTGCTGAAGATTGGTGGCAAGGAATGGAGACAGTATTTGTACCTTCTAGATGTGTGTGTTTCATTGGTGCAGAACAGCATCTACCTTTTCAGGATATTGTTCCTGTTGCTCTAAATTTGCCTTTTACATGGGATAATTGATGAAGTAGTATAATATTAATTAATGTCCTATCTTCTCAGTTGGAACTTAAAAAGATTTGCTCTCTCAGTTTGTGTTGTACTTATATTCCAGAACTATGTTTTTAATTGAAAATAGTTACAGAAGGCAAAAACATAATTCTTGAAAATATAGGAGGACACACACACACACACTCACACATATGAGATCTTGACTCTGTACCTCCCCCCCACCCTAGCCCCCTTGTTTTTTAAGATAGGATCTCATGCTTGAGCTCAGGTTGGCCTGCAACTCAATATGGTATTCCAGGCTGGCCATAAACTCATGGTAATTCTTCTATCTCAGAGTGCTGTGAGGCACCACACCCAGCTTGATCTCTACCTTTAGATTTGAGTACTGGGAACTCTGAATGCCCTCTAGATTTGGTAGAACCTGCATGTAAAACTTTCTTCTCGTCACATAAGACAAAGCCCCCTTTCCTTTCCTTCCTGGTTTGGGATGGGTGGTGATTAGGGCATCCATCCCACAGATTTTGCTTCACTAATTTCGTGGCTGATTATTAAAAGCACAGGTGCAAACGATTAACAGTGTTCGACTCATGAAAGGTTGGATGTTTAAAAATTTAAACCCATTGTGTATTTGTTCTGTCAGTCTTCATGTGGTGCTTTCCATTGCAACATCAAATAAGATGTTGCAATGGGGGTAGGGAAAGAGTAGCAATTAAACAGAAGATTCCCTGGGGTTAAATGATATTAACACGTCAGTTCACAGTTCACTGAACTACATGGGATGGGGGGTGGAGCTTTCTTAAAGGGAAAAATGTAAATGAACTGTTGAAATTGAAGGTGGGAAAAGGGTGGAGTTTGAGTAAACCATTGTGATGATGAGCAGTTGGCCTACAGGGGCTGTGAGGACATCTGGCTGGATGGTTAAAGAAACATTCAGGTTTGAAGAAAAGGCAATGAAATTACAGCTGCATTATAGGTAGACTTAATTAACGAGGAGGCAAAAGGAATGGTTTATTTTCTGCTTCATTTCTTGAGGTGGTTATCTCTTAGGTTGAACCCTGGTATGACTTTAGACAAAGGCCTTTACATTTTCCATGCTATTTGGCTGGTTCTGTGTATGTGCAGGTGAACAGAGAGTTCTAACATTGACATATGTCTTTGCATTTGGAATAGAATGAAGTCTAGTGGATTAAAAACAAAAACTACAGATCTTTATGTAATTAGGGCTGTAAATTGGAATGTGAATGCTGTCATTTTATCTTACACATGTAAACATCTCTTTTTCTGAGAAAGATGCTGCATAAATCACAATGGACTTTTTTTTATCTTCATGCATTTCAATTCAATTCATCTCTGTATACCATAGTATACCACTGTTTTTCCTTGAAATATTGAAGGTTGTCATTGAATGGGATTGGCTGTAGCAGCCAAGGTTTTAGTGTAAAAAATATTTTGTCTTTTTGAATAATTAATCAAATATTAAAACTCTTGATTTCAGGAAATCAGGTAGTGCAATTACTATCCACTTGGTCTCTGGCTTTGAAGGAAATGCACATACTCATAAATTTGATACTTTTTAAAAATGCAGCTTTGTCTGGAATATTAGCTACAAAGTAGCCTACTACATATTGACAACATACTCCATTTTATAATACTGTCTAAGTAGGGTTTGAAAGAGCTCATTAGAGCTCAGCATGTGTCCTTTTGCTTTGACAGGATATGTACTTTAAGGCAGATTTTTAGAAGTGTTTCTATGTGAGGCAGAATGTGATTTGCTAGGTAAGGAGGCTTAGTTTCCTTCTCTTGAATGCTTTTCAGTGCAGATAATAGATGAGAGGATCTTTTAGTCTTGATAACATTATGACTAGACAAGTAAATACCTAAACTGATATTTTCTATTGAGCAGGTGAGACTCAAATTGGGTTTGAAGGCAAGGTGGTGAGTGATGCTGACTGGGATAATTTGCTTACCTGGTCTGGCAGAGAAACTTGAGATGGAGAGTGAATAGATGGAAGAAAATGTCACAAGCATGCTCATTGTCCATTACCTTCCTTTTCCTGTTCACAGTGATGTCTCCACCCTCTGGATTCCTATATTTCTTCTAGATAATTCCTTTCCTACATTTTATTTTTATTTGACTTCCTGTTGTAGGGGAGGTTTAGTTGCAGTGTTATCTTAGGAAAAAGGACATTGACTTTTTGACACCAGAAACAAGTGGGAAGAACTTCACTACAGTTTATTAGAAGCATCCAAGGAGTTTGTAACCTCTCTTGGCCTTTGTAAAATATAGCTGTCAACACCCAAATTTCAAGTTGGAATGATTAGAAATAATGAATGTGAATTATTGGGGTGGAGGGCTAACCCTTAGTAGGCATTCAATCAATGTTTGTTGTTGTGCTCAATTAAACACATTCACACCAAAATAGCTTCTCATTGTATACAAGTGGATGTTTAGCCTCTATATTTTTCCATTCTTTTGTACCCCAACTTACCATTCTGCCCTTATTTTCCATTAGCAGCCTTAAGTTGTTTGCTTGTTGCCTTCTATAATGCAGGTACTGTGATATTCTCTGCTTTATACTGGAATGATTTGTCTTCTCCTTCTTCTAACGCGGTTAAATAAGGATCAGGATAAACAAATAGGCCGAATAAATGTTTATTCAGGGAGAAATAACTTACAATCTAGACAGATGAACACCAGGAAATTCAACCCGATCCTCTCCTGTCTGAGTCACGCCAGAAAAGAGAGAGCCTTTCCTGGCTCCCCTCCGACCTCCTTCCACAGGTCACTCCGCCCATGGCTCCACCCCCCAATGGGCATGGTCAGTGCCACAGAACTATCTCACTACAATTCCCCTTTTAGTCTAAAGAAAAGATTTAGGCTTAATACAAAACTATATACAAAACAGTGAATAACAAGTGTGCTCTAAGAAAAGGTAAATCGAGAACAAAATGACCTACCTATCTAGTCCTAGGGTGAGGGCATAATGGAGTTTACAATAGAGTTGTCCTAAGCTGGAAAACATAAGTTTAGTACCTAATATATCTAACTAGGAAGAGAGAATAATAGTTGTGATAGTTTAATCTTCAACCTCATCGAGACCTGAGAAGGAAATTAACAATACTAGAGTAGAAAGGAAATGCGGATGGACAACTTCCAAAAGGTATAGCAAGGACAGAAACAGCAAGCCACCTGAACAGTCACCCTAGGTCTCACAGCGACGTTGGTACACCCAGATTTGGCTAAGGCCAAGAAAACTTGACAGACCACAACAACAGCAGGGAGGTAGAATGGCTGTCTTACCCTGACTTGGCAAGGTCAAGCAGTCTTCTATATTTGTCTCCTGCAAGCACATAGGACTGCATGTCCAAATCAGTTGTCAAGGTGGGGGTAATTCTTTGCCCAACAGGCCATTAGCTGAGGCGAGATTGAACTCCAGCAGGAGCAACAACAGTGTCCAACATATTTTCAGGAAAGTGCACGGTGCTGTCAGGAGAAACAGTGTCTCATGTCAATGGAGTACTAATATTAAAACATTTAAATGCCATGTTCTGCATGTCTATGAAGTGATTGAAGATTAAGCATCTATATCTGACTAATCTCATAGGTACAGGAAATGTGAGTGAAGATAATCTGTAATACTCGGGAACTTAGCTAAAAAGACTGATAAAACTTTCCTGAGTAAAGCAGGAACAAATACTTAAACAATATAACTATTTGCATATACATACATGTAAATCCCTAAAATAGAGGTAGAGTATAAGTGTCAAGACAAGAGATAGAACTATAAAGGGCAGCATGATAAATATCCCAAATTGTATCAATATACAAAATGTCTTGAATACAAGAAAAGTATACATACATAGAATATGGTAAAAAATAATGTGCATAAAACATTGTAAGTGGAAAGATTTAACACAATATAACAAAATATAAACTTAATTTTACATAGCTTACCACATAAGAATACATAACAATGTAAGCTGTAAAATACTATCTCATTCTT